TCAGACTTTGCCAATCTGCAATCGAACACTGGACTGTCGCCACCGCCCATATACACTGAGGCAAAYGAAACAAAACAGTCGGCTATTGACACGTAATATATCACACCGATTACCCACTGAGACAAAACATAATCATTACCTAATATGGCGACAAATGCTGATCTACCTATTGTGGTAGAGCTCAGAGAGTTCAGTGAGACACAAATCAAAACAAATGACAACCATCACGCGTGACGAGTCTGAAAAGGCTCTGATACTTCACTTAACGTTCAGCTTTGATGAATACTTTTAATAACAATAATTTTGCATTTATAATATTAGAAAGCAACGTCATGGCTTTAATAAAGACTACAGATTGCATCTATGTGTTTGATTCTCATGCATGCACGTAATTGCAATGGTATGCCCGGATCCAAATGGTACTGCTGAGGAATATTCATGCTCTCTTTCTCTTCAATTGAATAGAGAAAGACAATCAATGTCACAAAAGAAAAAGACCGGTGGAAACTGATATTACATAATATCAACATTTTTTGATATCCTCTTATACATATTCTCGCACCATTTCATTTGCAATATGCAACAGCTTTAGTTTATGGCTTGCATCATAATTCCAAGAACTTTGAAACAACTTATTTATGCAGAACTATCTGTTGAGTCATGATTTCGYTTCGCTAAAAGGTAAGATTCGTCCTTATTCTATGACCTAAAGATAAGATTTCATGATATTTGAGTATGAATTAATATGAATTACTGGTTGATATCCCTCGAAATTTTGCAAAGACTTGTGACATTATAAAGTATATTATGGAGGCACGAAAATGATTGAACAGCATTCTTGAAAGTTTTAGAGTAGAAACTGTTAGCGAATTTTGAACAATTTTATTCTCGCTCGCTTCAGTTGCAAAACTAGTGCTTCAATTTAACTAAATTTTTGCATATGTTGGACTTTAATAATCCTAGATTCTAACAGTGTATTTTATCTTAAGATTTTCTAAGGGTTTAGTCTTTTACGGCCGAATTGAAAATCAAACAAAACTGATTTTAGTTTTTGGCTTTTTTCTCCTCATTCTCGGGTAAATGTTTCTGTAATATGTTCTGAAATTTCTGAAGAGCAAAAATAGAGGGCAAAATAAACTATAAGTGGGTTGGGATTAGAACCAATATTGTATTTGGAGGGGGTGGGGGGACGGCGGATGATCGTTTATTGCTGCGAGTCATTAGACGAGCAGCAAGACTAATCTTTACGATTGGAATCCTTGTTTGCTATATGCCAGAAAGAATC